CGACAAACCCCCGTTCAACGGGTCCACGGGAGGCACTCTGCGGGCTCATCCCGGGTTGGCACGTGGCCAAACACACTCATGGATATGCGTACTGACTTGATAGCGGTGCGACACGCCGGCCTAGGGTTCCATGTCCTAAGAGTATCGGCAGGGAACCAGCGAATCCTGGGGGTCTTCAAACGGAGAAATGGCCCAAAGAAGAAGAAATCGAACGACGGACGAACAGGCTGATGACGGTCCGCTATCATCTGCAATTCAAAGAAAACATCAAAACTTCGAGGTTCTTGGCTTAGCCTCATCCCATTCAGGAAGGAAGGAAGGAAAAACGCAGGTACGTCACTGGACGTCTCCAGTGATATCAGTACCGCCACAGAAGCCTCTTCGTTGGACTGTCACTTCTGTGGGGTAGACAGTCCCCCTGCTGTGAAATAAAAAAGAACGGCAAACCTGAAAAATCCAAAAGGATCCCTATGATTCCAAGGGTTACACACACACACACGCACACACACACACTACACACATGGTTCCCGCTCCCCAACAACACGGAGCCGCTTTCCACAGAGGCCGCATGGCATAGCAACATCACGGACATAGTTTGGCCACGCTGTGTGCCACAGACCAAAAAGAATGAACACCGAGCCTCGTCGAAGCCACAAACCTTCCGCTTACCAGTGACACACCGCGCTTACACACACTTAGGTCCATGCTCGCTAGAGCTATTTCAATTGGCGCTCCCCAGCGTTACTGCAAGAAGACCTTTACGCGCAGTTAGACCTTGGCTGAGGGAACGGAAAGGTGGCTGAGTCCGCGACAGCAATATTGTTTCAAAAAAACTCATTCGCACTTTACAGGAAATGTAAAGTAACCGCTTGAGCTACTGTTGAACCCGGCAAGCTACTTACTGAACGCTTAGCACTCTTGAGTTAACGGCATGCATAAAAGGAGTTCCACAGCTTTTGCAACAGTTCAACAAAAGCAGGTACATGGGACTGGCCAAGTCCCACGTCTCGCGGTATCACCCAGCTTCGATCATTGGTCAAGGTTGGCGATATCGCGCCTTGACCCCCTGCTTGCTGTACAGGGTACATCATAGGCCAGCTAGTTACCTAAAGTTAATTGAGAGGGATGTGGTTGTTTTTCTTGGAGACAAATTGACACACACACACACACGCACACAATCAGCAAGCGTCTATGTTCGCAAGAGAAAACATCAAAAACGCGCATGCATGCAGTCAACGCACGCGCCACTGGCGCTGCGGAGTCCGCAGCTTCAGGAAGTGTCTCAGAGGAGGCGGCAGCAGCTGGGTCGTCCGTAAATGAAAATCTTGATAAGGAAGCAGCATGAGGGCTGCAGGCGCTGCTGTAGACGCATCTGCTGATGGATGCGCCATAAAGGAGGCGGTGGCTGCGCCCTCTGTGAAAAGTGTGAGTGGCGGTTGCGGTGGAAAGGTGGATGGTGGCGGTGTTGGTGCGCCGTGAAGAGGCTTGGCTGTTGTGGGGGGTGGATGTTTGTTGCGCGCTATGTGGGATTGCCGTCCTGGGTGGGTAACGTTGGAAATGGTTGCGTAGTACTGGTAGTGGTACTGGATAAGGTGGATGTGGATGTGGAAAAATCGCAAGCGGTGGGAAACAATTGGCTGCAGCGGGAACGAACCAGCCTAGCTCTCGATGGCCTTCCCATATGGAGCTATTCCAGCTTCTGGTTCTGATCGCCTGCCACAACCAAGGCGCCGCGTCAAGCTGATGCAAAGCACAAACCTCAAGGAGCTGCTCTGCTCGTGGTCCTGAGTCCATTGATTCCCAACCATGCTCCACCAGTCTTCCATGGCAATGTATGGGCCGATTCACTTTTGAACTAAAGATCATATTCTCTTTGAGAAGAACTTCATGTACATCAATGTCACGCAAGCAGGTTTCGACACTTTTCGCAACCCACAATGGGATTGCGATTCCCCTGAGCGCGCGATTCCCCTGGGCATCTTGTGGTTTGGTAGCTGAATTGAACTCTAGCTCTCCTTCCTCATGATCTGCCATATCCAAAGCGAATAAAGCTGATTCAGCTCAGATGGACAATCCAGAGCCAGGGTGTCAGCCTTGCTGCGCGGGTCTACAACTGTATGAGTAGTCACTGAAGCTCCTCCTGAAGATGAATGGGCTGCATCACTTGCAACCTGTCGAATGTTGTTTCTCCAGTCTCGAGCAAGATGTCCTGGCTTCCCACAAGTGTAACATGTTGCCACACCTTCTCCTTTTTGGTCTTTGCCTTTGCCTTTGCCCTTGTGATCACCTTCTTTTCCTTTCTGTTCTCCTTTTCCTTTCCTTTGGCATCCTTACCCTTGCCCTTCTTGGAATCATTCTTACCTTTCTTGCCTTTTCCTTTGGCATCTTGAATTCGATCAACGTCCATAGGCATGGGTCCTGGATAGTCTGTACTGCTACTTGCAACCATTGAAGCAGCCCACTTCTGCTGAGAACGATCCCATTGCAACACTTGTTCCCTGAACATTGTTGCCAATTGTCAAATTCAAGTGGGATTTGAGCTGTCCACCTACACACGTCAAAAGATTAGCAGATTTCAGCTCTTCTTGAATTGTTGTTCCTGATCTGACTGTCTCATCAAATACCTCTTCAAGCTTAAGAAGTTGAGGGTGTAGAGCACTGTTCATAGAAAATCCTGGCCATGTAGTGGCTGCTCCCAAGAGTGCTAATCCTCTTGCCTTTGAAGTAAGTTTCAAGGCTTTGTGCAAACTCCTCCAGGCATCAAATCCATTGGAGCCCTCCACAGCTTTCACCAATTTTAGCGCCCTGCCCCTCATCAACGAAGCTAACAATCCATAGAGCTTGGTACCAAGTCTATGTCAAAGTTCTTGTTAGGCTTGTCATGGATCTCTTTCAAGTCCTTCATGTAAGCCTCATCCACTGACTGAGGATAGATACTTCTCAAATACCCATGACCACTCTCTGAACGCTTTGATCTCTTCTTCTTGTGACTTGTAGTCAAATAGATTGGGTTTTGTGGTCGTCTTTGACCAATCAGTTGTCGTCCTCTTATCTTGCTTGCGTGCTTCTGGCTACGACTTCTTCTCTTATCTCATCCATCGCTACCGCACAATAATGTCCTTCTGACACAATGTACGGGGTACAGAGTGCAGCAGTTTGTCACCAGTCCAGATATTTGGCTTCCAAAGGTCCCGAATCTATGGCTCGAAACGCTCCCGGGATCCCAGTGACCTGGGGTCTTTTCTCTGGAGCTCAAAGGGGATTACCCTTATCCTTGCTCCGCTACCATGCAAATCTGTTCTTGACAATCAAAGGGCTGCGGTCAGGTGAGAACTGCAATACATGCTGTACAATACTACTTATGGTCTATGCTGAAAACTCTTCACAAAAAAATAAGTAATAACAAAACACAATAACATATATAACTATAACAATAATATAATGATAAATCCTGACTCTGCCGGTTATTTTAGCCCACCTAGTCAGAAGAACCAAAAGCATTGCTATGAGCATGGGTCTTGAGCAATCCTTGATCCTCTTCCACTCAACGTGTTTTTGGTGAGAGCTTCTTCCTAATCCAGTCACGTTAAAGAGACAATTTCCAAGAAAAACAAATTGTGTCAAGGAAGACAGGAATTGAGTGAATAGAGCAAGCGGCGGGGTGTTTTGCGGGGGTCCATGGCAACATTAATTTTGCCAAACTGTGACGTCTACACGTGCCCAGGCACGTGTGGCAGCGCTGTGTATGGCGCTCAAGTGCCTTAGAACAGAGCGTCTGAGCTGCAATGCCGACTGACAAGACACAAGACACTTTTTGGAAGGCTGCAGCAAGAGTCCTTCATAGATCCCATTCATGGTTGGGATTTCAATTGACAATCAATTTGTCTGCATGTTCTGGAACGACGCAGCGATATCAACATCAAGTTGGCTTAGAAATTCTGTATAGTTTCTACTGTGAAATGTCGGTTCTGGTATGCTTGAATAGACCAACATCTTCATCAACTTGGTGCCCGCTCCAAGCTGTTTATCGCCGCGCTGGCATGGATGGTCTGGCGCTTCTCAGTCTTCCTGGGTTGGGCAGGACCTGATGGTGACCTGGTGGTGACATGTCAAAAAGGCCAACAGGTGGTACGTGCAACAAGGGCCTAGATCCACAACAAGTTTCTTGCCTACTAAGCCTTCGTCGCCAGTACACCTACTTTGGTTCACCACCAAATCCTCTATCTATATATATATATAAATCCACCTTTCTCGCTCAAAATACGGTTCTCATTTCAAACCCAATGACAGTTCCCGGCAGTTCCCGACCCGCTCCGGCCAAGTGGCTTCACGTCACTATCGCTCTTGAAACTCGTTATTCCGGAGAAGCTATTGCTTCGTGTCAAGGACCGACGCCCAGCGGCAGCCAGCGACGCCAAAGGAGAAAGGACCTCAGAAAAGCGTCTTGATCACTCCAAAAGGCAGTCCAGTTTGATCCGTTTGAACCTAAAAAGCTTCTCCAAACATGGGCAGTAGTCCTATGGAGACCCCACTTAGAGTCTGGCTCCATCCTCATTGAAGGTGAAGCTACTTCGACGTCGTGTGGCCTGTGAAGTCACCAAGCCAAGTCGTCGATTGGCTTGCACTAGCTTAGACAAGAAGCCCGGCCCAGCTTGACGTCTTGAGCGATTGAGTTGTAACAAGGTTGAGATCTGTGAAGAATCTCATGATATGATAAAATCCGATTTTCAACTATATATCTGGTCTCAACCCACGGCCACATGGAATGAGCCGATTTGGCAGAATCTTTCGCCTTGCTTCGGGGCCCCAAGGCCAGCAGACTATCCAAGGGCATGGAGCTCAGTGCCCAGAAGAATGGAGCCAAAAGTAACTTCAGGGAATAGTTCATGAATCATCTCAACCTGCCCTAAGATTCAATATATCAATTAAAGCCAAAGAAGCGACATCTTCCAACAGTGCACACAGTGCCGCACATTGCTTTCTTGAAAGGTGGGAGGTACCAAGACTCGAAGGCCACTCGCACCACGCTTCTGAAGGTATTCAAGCATGGGTGCCGCCTCTGCCTGGACTCAGCGCTGTGTCACAAAATCTGGTCACAAAGAACTGCGCAGAGCATGACAAATCCAACAGATCTGTCATGCCTTCACCACAGGCCAGTTACAAAGCCCTAGGACCAAAAACATGGAGAAGTCCTTGCAGGACAATCCAGCTGAAGCCTATTGCAGCCCTTTTAGAGCAGAACAAATGTCCGCTATGTCGGCACCTCCGAAATCAAGAAGACAGTGGTTGCTGCGAGAGTACCTGAAGCCATTTTGGAACGATCCGCCGTTGCTGTCTCAAGCAACAGCACACGGTGTGCATTGGCGTGTGACGGTAAAAGGCAAGCATTGCCATTCCAAAAACTGTACAAAGTGCGTGCCATAGGATTTGGTACCCAGACTTGCCATCAGGACTGTCAAGCTGGAAAAACCCGCTCCAAGTTCAGCTCCCATGATGAACAGTTGTGATTACTTCTAGCGAGCTAACAACAATTGAGAATATATATAATACATTACATTAGACAATCAGTACAATCTCAGGACTGGAAACTTCTTAGATGCGTTTCAGAGGTCACTCTTCTTGTCGAGAACGCGGCTGCACCGATCATGAGTCCTGCGGTGGCTCTGCGAACATACGTAATCTTCTGGTGAAGCTGCATCCACTAAGGTCTTGCAAAAGCAAACATGAACCTGGTCAAGGAGGGCAACTTTGCAAAACAAACCTGCAATGCAAACCCAAGTTTTGCTCGAGAATCAGGATTAGTTCCTGAACACCAGCAAACCTTCTTGAACATCTAGTAGAATCTGGTAAGACGCTGCTGGGAGTGCAGCTTGTCATCTCTGAGACGTCCAGGAGAGCACTGTGTTCTCAAGTCCTCTAGCTTTAGGCGCTGTGACAAGCTCTCCTAGACTCACTAAAACGACCTTTGGGCGAGCCAACCGATCAAATTCGGACTGCAGAAACTCTCCTGTAGATCTTCACGGTAAAGCCCAGCTGTTCAAGCTCTTCCTTCTCGGACGCCTTGGGTACAGAAATGCTATCGAGAAAACCAAATGCTTGTCAACCTTCTGACCGTCCTCCTGAAGTCCCAATTCCATTGGATTGGGGAAACCACTGAAGGAGCATCCAGACTAAAGCTTTTGGATGGTTTTTCCTGGCTATATCATACATCAATCCTCCCAACTCTGGCAACCGCAAGGAAGCTCATCCAGCTATACAGAGCGTGGCGAGGCTGCTACAATTTTGACATGGCGCACAGTGCGTTAAGGCAAAGCTGCCTTTCTTTCGGCTCAATGAGCTACGCCGCTACGCAACGGGAACGACGTGTTTGACAGGGCAACGAACGAGGCCTCGGTTTAATCTTCACCACCATCACCAATCCAGATAGAGCCGAGCTGCGCTGCTAGCAGCAAAACTATTGACCTTCAAGAAGACCGAGTGCCACTGCTGGCTTTACCTTTATTCACAACAGATCCAAAGTGAAGGGCTCCAAATTCTGCCATCTGCTCGGCGGTAATCAGCATGTGCCCCATCTTTTCGCTTTGTACCCCACCTTATCGGTCTTTTCAACCTCCAATACCGTTGTGGGGCACGGAGGCGCCTTCTCAGATGAGGACGTGTCAGGGTTCGAACTCTCCGATGCATTTTCAGAAGGGACCTCTGCTATGGTGCTTTCTGCAGCCTTTCGCCAGCGTCCAGTTCGCTGGCCTTGGACTTCCAATCTCAGCCAACATCGGAACCTACACCGTCGCTCTGCACACCGGATGAAGAAGCGGCCATTGTCTTTGAGGCTCACCACACGTCTCAAAAGCCCAGGTTTCTTGCAAAAGCAGTCAGGAAGGTGCGCAATCTCATCCAGCCAAATGTGGAACCCACAGCCATCCCAAGGTCCAGGAATTCCACAGCCACCATCGTCGTACCTGCTTCCTCTCCTACGTGGGCACGACAGGTATGGCCTCCGATCTTCGGCTAAGCTGGCATAGTTGCCCGCACGCACCTGCAAGAGAGCCGGTGACAAGCCACACTCACATGGCTTTAGTTTCAACTGAGCCTCATGGCGATGGCTTCTTCGTGTGGCCATCGAAGTGCCTTGACAGCTCGGGCAAAAGTAGGTGATGCGTTGCCTCGCGGAAGGACACCGACACAAAGAATGCCAAACACCAAGTGTTGAGGGTCCCAGTGCTAGGCCACATCGCTTCTAGGTTGGAGGCCATCGCTACTAGGGTCGAGGCCATTGCTATTAGGTTTCCTTGCTAGTAGGTTGGAGCCCATCACTGATATTTGGGAAGTGATTCCTGGCCTCCTTACGGCACTGCACTGCATATACTATATAGTCGTGCGTTGGCAAAAGGTGAACGGCATGGAAACATTTATGTTTCGAATGGGATCACTTATCATACTTCATCTAGTTGGGGACTGCAATTTGCTGCTCATGACAATGAGGGCACTGGCATGCCTCTTTCCTTCTTTGATCAGACTCACAGGGGTCTGGCAGCGAGAACAGTTCCAATGTCCATAAACACGCATCAAATGGCAACAGCCCATCAACTGCCCATTGGCACTTTTCCTCGAAGTGGTGAAGACAAAGTAAAAGGAACAAGCTCGGGATGCGAAAACTTGGGATGAGACTAGCCCAAAAATTAGAAAATATTCTGCTCCAAGCAGGCTTCTGACAATGAAGGTACCAGTGTTTGGAAAACTCACGGAGTTCTTCTAGTAGGTCCTTCCACTCCGCGTCACTCAATTCGCAAGCCCTTCTCAGTGGGAAGATTTTGGCTGCAAAGAGGCCCTCACATTTGATGATGTTCCCAACACCCGGAAGCCGCGATTGGTCCATGATGAGATCAACGACCAACTCCTCAGACTCGCGAAAGAGTCGGACGGCCTCATTCATTGCAAAGCTTTCTGCATTGATGTCAAAGACGCGCCTGGCTTCCACGGAGCGAAGATACTCCGGCGAGGACAGGCCGAAGGAACTCCCCAGATCGGTCCAAAGAGAAAATCTCAAGCCCACATCAGGAAAAGCCAACGGATCAGAGACCGATCTCTCGACCGAGATCCATGTTTCGGTCTCCGAAGTCTCCTTTTCTTCTGTGAAGTCAAGTGTAACAGCCACATGGCTGTCTCGACAGTGTCCCCCTCCGCCTGCTTTGGGCCCCCATATCAAATTTTCACCGACTGCCGATGTTTGCTGCACCAAGTATCCTCCACCGTGGCCAAAATGAAGCCGAATGCTGCCCCCACGTCGTGTCTCATCCCACTTCAAGGCAAAAACCAAAAAGAGCTCTTTGCCGACTGCAAAGACCTCCAATATCTTGCAACCAACCAGGGAACGAAAGGCTACCCCTTGCTCCGCTGTCTCAACACGGATGACTGCTTTCAATCGGCGCCTCAAGAGGATCCTACGGGCATCAAACGCACAAAGGGTCAGGAGGACGCTCGCACGCTGCAAGCACCCTGACCTACGTGGAAAAGAGAAACTCGCCAAACCAAACCTTGCCAAACTCCAATAAACACTTCACCAACACAAGAAAGCCACACACCGTCCTCAGCAACTCTGCATGCCTATGGTACTTCGGACCCTCGACCATCTTACACCGGGCAAGCTTGCGACCATCTTCCGCACAAGGCGACCGGCCAAATGTTTAGGAAAGTCCAATTCATTGTCCCAAAAAAATGCATTTGATCTGGTTGAAAAATCAAAGTATCACAAAATGCCACCTACACTCCCTGGTGGCTTGTAAATAAAGTAACAATATCATCTGCAGCCCCCAATTGCAACTTACATGGCGCTGGAAATTTGGAGTCAAAACATTGCGCAAAGAAAACAAAGCCAAATCAAAGGCCCCGTGTTACTTCAACAATCACCGTATTATATAAGGTCTTTGTTGATTTAGTTCTGGACGTATCGAAAGGCTTGGTGGGATCCTGATGTCCTGATGCCCCCTACATGTGAGGAAAGGTTTGCCTCCCTCCAAGTCGAAGTGCGGCGAAGTTAAAGTGCAGCACTTCGAAGTTGTGCTTCAAAGCCACTGGCTCTGTGAACAAAGCCTCACCCATTACGCAAGAATATTTAAAGGTTGTTCTCATTTAATCGACAGGAGAACCAGGAAAAAGCGCACAAGGACAACATGTCCAATCCCTCATCCAAACAAAAGCATAGTGCCAACAAACTTGAAGGATACCAAGGACTAGACCATATTTCCGCAAACTGGTTGAAAACTATGATATAAATAATCAACTTCGCAAAGTTTGAGAGAACAAGCATTTGGCACTGAAGAGGAAGGTCCACTATTCAAATGGACTTGCAATCATTATTCACCCTCGTGTCTGCCAATCAAAGCTGAACTCCGAATTGTCTGATAGAAGCGCTTGCACTGTAGGTTGGATCAAACTCTGGTGATACACGATACAAACCTCTGACTTTGCAGCGCATCGGGTCAAGTTATGAGGTCTGCTTGAAGAGAAACCCTACGGGCTGAAAAGGAATATATTGACACCATGCCTAACTCCAAATGCAAATAATTGTATGCTCTATATATGCTCTATAGTCTTTTCTAATACCCAACAAAGCAAAGATCTTTCAGCAAAGCTCTACTCATCCACCATTATATAATAGACACAAAATCCAACCGCCAGCAGCTATAAGCAGCACCCACCACGCTGCCTGTGCTCGGGAAGCTCGTTCTCCGATCCAGACCTAAATTCGGGAAGCTTCAAACGGGTCAGCTTGCACAAGGCCAACTTTTCGAAGACCACCCGTCGCTGCCTTCGCAATGAATTGAAAGGGGGACACGCCGCTGAGTGTTTATCTGCATCGCTTTTCTGACAACGAAGGACTCATCTGCTCTGCTGCAACATGAGATATGGGCTCTTCAGCAAGACAGAAGGCCCACATTGAACCCATCGCTTTGGTAGCAAATGAGAGAATCTTGCAAAGCCTTCCATCTTCAGGCGTGTTCTTTTGAACACAACGAGAAAGCACGAATGGCCGAATGATCGTGTCACTCAGCCCCTCACGAGCGACCACGAAGCTCCACCAGTGCCAGCAGGTGCCGGACCAGCAGCTGACACAGCTTGCGCTGAGTCTTCAAACTGCATCCTGCGCATCTGGAGTCGAAGCAATCCAATGCATCAATCATGGCTGTCGTGGCTCCAAACTGGGCCCACCCCGCGATGTAAAAAAGGAAAAGTTGACCTGGCCCTTCTTTTTGCGACCGTCCCGACCCTTTTGCTGCACCTTTTTCCGCCGTTCTCCCCCAAAAGGATGCATTGCATTGGGACATGAGACGAAGGTGTTCCAAAGTGCTTTTGCACACTCCGTTGAATTGATGGAACTGCTTGGCATGGCTTCATCTGGGCATCCCAGGCCAAGGGCCAGACAGCTCACCAGGCATCCTGGCCACGCAACCGTGGGCACTGCCTACATGAGATAACCCACATAAAGCTTGTTTTCTAAGCACACTATCAGTGTCAACATCCCAAGAGCAGAGCTTTCAGGTTTCACTGTTTGCACCAGGCACATCCAAGGCTGTGACTCATTCGCTTCTGATGGGAGCCACATCTGAGCCTAGCCGAGACTTTGCTTCTTCGCTTCACTCTGAGATCGTTCTCCCTCATTCGACATGAAGGATTCGACTTGTGTGCTGCATTCATTATCATTAGAAAATAAACGCTCCACAGCTTGCATGATCTTCCAGGCGCAAGCTCCCTTTTTTATCCTTTTTTGACTTTTTTGGTGCCTCTGGGCCCATCGGCATCCAGCCGAAGTGGTTGCCCACCTCAACGACCCACACTGTCACAGAGCAATGTCTTGGAGAAACAAAACAAACCTCAATTATCTGAGCTTCTCTGAGCTCTCTGGCTGGAGGATAGCCTTGGCACAAAACCATCGAACAAATGGAATTCTAGAAAAGAATGTCACTCAGGGAACTTTCTATACAAAGCTCCTGCATTTCCATCAACGGAAATACCAAGCACCTACGACTTCTAGCGTACTGGAATCAACATGCTCTTGCCCTTGCACATGTCCACATCTGCTAGAATTAGAACTCGTTGAACAAAGTCTACTGTAACTCCTCAAGCACACCAAAGGGTCTTTTTGCCGGAGTGTCACAGGCCCACACCTCCCATCTCGTTGACCCCAGGCATGCCAGGATAACCAGGCACCTCAGATTATCTGTTGCACCATCTAAGCTTCCAAATTGCCACCAAACCATGTAGATCTGTGGTGTGGAAGAAGCGGTCGACCCGTCTTGGCCCGGGTGACTCCCAAAGCACTTCCCTACAGATTGGACACCAACCAAGCAGATGTCGCATGTCCAAACTGCTAGACAGGTCAAAGCTTGCTAAACCAAAAGAAAGGCACATCGACCTGGGGCCAGCCAGAATTCTCGCGAGGCATAATCCACATCCTCGAAGACTTGGATTGCTGCTTTTTCTCAATGCACCAATGGTTCTGGCAAAAACCACCGTAAAGGCATATGAAGAGCCTTTGGAAATGCACACAATCAATAATTGATCCACGCCATCTCACCTTCACTTCTACCTTCACCTAAGCTTATGAACAATTGGGCCAGACTGAGCTTCAGACTGAGGCCAGGCTGGTGGCACCTGGCGGCGAGACGCCCATCTTCACAAATGCAGAACCTGTTCAGGTGGGCTCTTCATCTTTCGCATGGGTCGTGCCATCGCATGCCTTTCACATGCCGCATGTCTTCACCCGCAGCTTTGAAGCCTTTGCTGAACGTGACTGACATGACTCGTTTGAGCCAGGCCTGACTGGGAAAGCCACCCATCGCATTGGGGTCCCAGTTGGGCCAGGCCATCTAAGAGCAAATCACAGCGTCACAGCCAGGTTTAAAAAGCCTTAGACCTTAGACTCCACTTTTGCGAATACAACAGTCTATCTTGTTAAGACTCCTAAACTTTGCCAGCCATTTAAAAAGTTCCCTTGGTAAACGTTATTAAAAAGTTCCCTTGGTAAGACGCACTTCCATCTCAAACGCTGCCTCTGGTGCGAACTCATCAACTCCAAGGAGCCATCACAGGAGCCATCTTTGTGTCTTTGTGTGCGCTCACAAAAGAAAAAGGTAAACTCTCGGGTTGAAAGGGAGTGGTTGAAGTCTTCTCCCTCAAAGGTGCTGTGATTTCAACTCAGGTCAATCTACCTGCAAAAACTTCTCTCCCAAACCGACAATCATCTGGGCTACCAAACCGGGTAGTTTTCGGGTGTCATCGGCACATTCCTCGCTTGCACACAAGAATAACGACTGTGGAAACAAGGCAATGCTACATTGCTACGTGTCTGCAACCCGGGAATAAACGTCAGATGACGATGGGTGTTCGATCAAACACCCTGCCTCTTGACTCCTAATCCTCAGAATCCGATGTAAAAAAGAATCCCCGCCAAGGCACTTCCCCTGGGACGTTGGCGACATGTTCGGCCCCTGCAAAAAGAGGGCAGCGAGTTGCGCAGTACTGCATACGTGCCGAGAGGAGTCAATCAAACGTTACTTGTCCCAACGCACCTGGGAGCTGGATGGTGTTGCTTGTGGTGTTGGTGGCAGCATGAAGTCCTCACTTTCCTGGGACAGGAAGTCGACCCAACTTGTGCCCTACTGCCGGCATCTTGAACCCTCAATGGGATGTTCAAACTCAGAAAAGAACTAGACACCTCTGAGTTTCAAGTCATATAGTGAAGACAGCACGGAGTATACCTTCGAGGTGCCACCAGGGCGCCACTGCCGCATGCTCGGAGACTTTGGCCAGGCCTCACATGGATTGAGGTGTCCTTCCTCATCGGTGGCAAAACCCAGGCACGCGTCATACCGTTCACATCCGGTTGGACCTCTTGGACGTTTCAGTTCTAGTGACTCGATAGAGCCCTTAGCCCTTTGTCCATCTACTAAAGGATCCAAAAGAAAAGCAATTCCTAGCTATCCAGGGAGCTGGGCTTAGCCTGCAAACGAAGAAGGAAGTTTGCGTCTTCCGGGCTTGCCCAATCATCCATCCTATCTCCAGCCTGTTGGGGCCAGCAAAGGTGTACTGCTCTGACTCCGGCGACCAGGCCTCCTTGGAAATGTCGATCGAGAACTTCCAAGAGGGGGGAAACGACCCAATGACCCTGAAGGCTAACGGAAGGCTAACGGAAACTGGTTCAAGATTTGGTCCGCTAATTGAAAGAGAAACATGGACACTGGACATTCGCACATTGGAGCCGATACATACTTCCCGCAAGTCATTTGCCTCTAAAAATCTATCTATCTACCTATCTATGTATCTACCTATCTATCTACAGTATCTATCGATCGATCGATCGATCGATCTACAGTATCTATCCATCCATCTATCTACACCTCTACTTACTCTACACCCCGAGCAACTTGCTGGCCCAATGAGGCTCCAACTGTACATGTAGTCCTGGTGACCTGCAAAAAAAAGTTAGACAAAGTGAGTGAAGCATCGAACACAAACTGACGCCCTTGGTCTTCAGTTCCAATCAACTCCCGGATAGCCAACTGCAATTCTGGTCCAATCCTTGTCCTGTACACATCTGTGCACCTTGAGGCGTCTTTTGTACATCTGAGAGGTGGTGTTTGCAAGCTATTTCGTGCACATTTACAATGCTTCCAATTTTGGATTGAAAGATCACGTATTGTGGCCCCAGGAGTTTTTCGCTTGCAGATCAAACTAGATTGGATCAGCAGGATGTTATTTTTCTGCACAGCCACGAAGGTTGACCAGACCCCTGGCACTGATTTCTGGCCAGCCTCATTGGCCAAAGCATGGGGGAGGCCGCCTCGTCATCCGATAAGGATGCCCACCTGGTACGATGTCATGGAGAGAGCTGGTTCCAAAGGGAACGGGGTCGATCATGGTGTTCTTCACCCTCTTATTGAAGCAATCCCTTCATGGGAAGCCAAAAAGGCAAAGGATCAAAACTTCATTTGGGTGTGTATTTATTGCACCTGCTGGATGAAGACCCATTGGCTGGGTGGTCTCCCTATTGAAAATAGATCCATACGGAATTCAATATCTTGGTAGAAAACGACCCGTCTATCGTCAAACACACATCAACCAGCGTCTTCAAACCTCAAACGGCCGGGCGCTGTCGCACTTTGGCACCTCCGTCGAGCTCCCGGCCATGCATCGGGAGCAGCCTGGGTTCAGAATGGCAGATCAGACTCATAGATTCTAGATGCTTCAGAATCTGTAAAAAGTCATGGACTCAGGAATGAAGACCTCGACTATTTATAGAAAACGCTACACGCAGCTTCTTTGAAGGGCCCAAACTGCCATAGCCCATCCCTACGCCCTACGTTCTCAGATTAACCCAGCTGGGCACCCGGACGTCCCGACCCACACGCCATGTAGGTGCCATAGTGGGGGACATGCCAGGGGATGGATAAGCAGCCAGGTCCACAGGATGCATCTGGCACAAACGAACAACTCCGCAAGTCCAGGCAGATTGCCTCACCTGTTCGGTGGACCTCTTCTGCCCAGTGGGGAGGGAAGTTTTGCCCCATGGGACGCACACTTACAGAGTTGCAAGGGTTCCTACGGCTGTGTCAAACCAGGATACCTAGGCTGACAAGCTACATGGTGTTGGGAATCCAGGTTTTGACCGATTCCCACACAGCACTACATTTGTCAGGAAGTTGGGCCTCTGTACGTCCATGGGTCAAGCATTCGTTGAAAACTCGCAGTGTCCTGCTTTGGGATTCACCTTCATCCACTCTGCCCTGCTTTCTGATTGACCACAACACAATCAGCCTCCTTTGAGGATCGGCGGATGCCTGTCATCATCTCCTGCGGATCTCGCCCGCCCCAAAAAATATCGATCTCAAAAGCTACATGCAAGAACTGAGTGAGGCACAAGTGTTACTTTTAAAAGTGAGCCGCTCACAAATGTCAATCAAAGTTCAAACCCTTGCAAGGTCACACATGTCACCTGACAGGTCAACCACGCGAACCTCCTCAGACATGGAAGCCCAACGTCGTCGGCCAACAAGACCTCTCGTTGCCACTTGTGACGCTATTTCCAGTTACATGAAAATAATGTTATGGGTAAAACAAAAAGTGAGTGTTAAAAAGCAAGAACCTCGAAACGAGAGTAGTAATATCCGTTTGCAAAGTAGTTTCATAACATCTATATAAGTTCACCTACATAATATTCACTCCTCACCTTGCCACCAAACGGTTCATCATACCAAATCTTCCTGATTTTGCAGTGCCTGCCTGCAGGTGGCTCCTGCATATGTTCGAGCAAAGGACAGAAAAATGCCCTTGAGTCGTTAAGTTTGTGGGTGTCTCCCCAACCCCACTGGGTCTTTGTTGGCGTCTTTCGCGATCTCCCAAAATACTTGCACAGGCAGGAACAACCATCGGTGCAAGTGATGGACCCAGGGCAACCGTCGTGGATCGCGCTGTTTCCGGAGTCAAGTCTAGTCTCCCAAAAACTGACGATTTGCTTGCCATTCACGATCCTTGCCATTTCAAACTCAAAAATTTGCCAGTCTCCTCTGGCCGTAGGAATGGCGATGTCCTGAGACGTCTATGGAAGCTAGCAACGAAGACAAGAGAAAGTCAATGAAAGCCTTAGGTTGTTCCAACTATCTGGTGCCAAATCATACATAATCATAATTTGCGAACCGAAAATGTTTTTCCCGAATGCGTAGCGAAGGGTTCTCGTTTAACTCTGGGGGTCTGGGGGTAGAGTCTTGTTCGCGACCCGTTGCTTCTATGTTCGCAACCGTCCGCAACCGTTCGCAACCGTTCGCAACCGTCCGCAACCGTCCGCAGTAGGTCGCTAAGGCGCTGCCATTGGGGGAAGCTTTTGCAAGTGACTTTTCATGGATGTGTCACGTGTCAGTTTGCGCCGCTATTCCATTGTGATTTGCATGAAAATGACATGTCGCGCAAGAAGCGTGATGCATTTCACTGCACAGGCGCAGCGTTTTGTGAGATCCGCAGTTTGCTACGCAGTTCCATTGGGATTAGCGTTTGGAGAGTTGTGTTTTTGGGGTGTTGGATGTGGCCGTGCCATTGGGATTTGCGTTTCAGGGTGTGGCATCGAAGCTCTGTTTTCGTGACAAGTCTCAGCTGAAATGCCGATTTGGGTGGATGGGAGTGTGCTCCGAACGGGTCGAAATCATTCCAAACGTGTGGTGTGGTGCAAATTTTGTTGAAGGCCACATGAGATGACATTGTTACTTTTCGTGGCAGGCGCAGGACTTTGTGCAGGTTTTGAGGTGTGGAAGTGGGATTTTCGTGGCAGGCGCAGGGAATCGTGAGGTTGCGATGTGTGACGGAGGTGACATTTCGTGGCAGGCGCAGTACTTTGTGCGCGTTAGACGTGTGGACGCGGAAAGATTCGTGGCAGGCGCAGGGAATCGGGAGGTTGTGAGTTGTGGTAGAGGTGAATGTCGCTGTCACATTGGGATTGGCGTGTGGGCGGGTGTCGTTTGGAGGGGCTGGAATCGCGAAATTGCTTGGCAGGGCTGCGTGATGTGTGTGCTCCGATGGGTGTTTCCGCTGGACTTTTGGATGAAGTCTCGTGCGAAACGCTCGTTTTTTGAGACTTGACGCGTGACTTTTGGAGGGAGTCTCGTACGAAACGCTCGTCTTGCAGCCTCGCAGCGTGACTTTTGGAAGAAGTCTCGTACGAAACGCTCGTTTTGGAGACTTGACATGTGACTTTTGGAGGAAGCACAAGAGTGTCCCACAAGAGTGTCCCGTATGAGTGTCCCACAAGAGTGTCCCACAAGAGTGTCCCGCATGTCCCACAACAGTGTCCTACAAGAGTGTCCCGTATGAGTGTCCCACAAGAGTGTCCCACAAGAGTGTCCTACAAGAGTGTCCCACAAGTGTGTCCCACAAGAGTGTCCGACAAGAGTGTCCCAAAAGAGTGACCCACCAGAGTGTCCTACAAGAGTGTGCAACAAGAGTGTCCCGTAAGAGTGTCCCACAAGAGTGTCCTACAAGAGTGTCCCACAAGAGTGTCCTACAAGAGTGTCCCGTAAGAGTGTCTCACAAGAGTGTCCCACAAGAGTGTCCCGCAACCATGTCCCACAAGAGTCAAGAGTGTCCATATAAGAGTGTCCCACAAGAGTGTCCCACAAGAGTGCCCTACAAGAGTGTCCCACAAGAGTGTCCTACAAGAGTGTCCCACAAGAGTGTCCTACAAGAGTATCCCACAAGGGTTTCCTACAAGAGTGTCC